CAGATACGGATCCAGAACTGAATTCTTTAAAACAAAATGGCCGCCAGTCGGCCATTTCGAACCCGATCCAAAAAAAAAAATGACGTGCATCAAGGTCCTATTATGTTTAATGTATGTACCAAATTTGAACAAAATCCGTCCATGCATAACTGAGATCCGGGTCCGGAATGGTGAAAATGTGCGATTTTGATGCATTTTCGGCCTTAAAATGGCCGCTATTCGGCTATCGTTAATCGGATCATGAAAAAAATGCATGTGCATATGTCCCATATAAGGTGTGATGTATGAGTGAAGTTTGAACTTAATTGGTCCATGCATGTTCAAGATACAGGTGATCACGGACGCACGGACGCACACAGGGCAAAACATAAGTCCCCGTTTTCGGACTGCGTCCGAACGGGGACTAAAAATATAAGCTACCGGAAAAACAAGTTGTGGCATGACATAGTCTTTACTTGTTCATACAGGGCTTACATGCATACACATGTCCTATGATAAATCGCAAGATATACGTTTCTAGAACAGCATTCATTAAAACAAAATGGCCACCAGTCAGCCATTTTGAATAAAATCTGAAAAACAAAAGGGCATACATGCCATTATTTCTGATGTATGTACCAATTGTGAATGAAATCTGTTGATGTACAACCAAGATTCGGTTACTGATTTGCAGAAACACTTGTTGATGAAATTAATGAGGTCACATGAACCCAATTATACAAAGTAGGAATTAATATGCATTAATTTCAACCAGAAAGTAATCAGATCTGTGGATTATCCAAAGGCACCTATGTACCAAGTTTCACCTATAAATTGTTTAATTTATACAAATTAGGCAATTAGTTCTCAAAAAAAAAAGTTAAAAATAACATTTTTGTCAACAAAAATAGAAAATTGAAAATAACATCATAAAAACTTGTCAGCCGAGATACCTACATGCCAAGTATCAAAGCAATTGAGCATGTTGTTTTCAAGAAGTCAAAAATAGCATTTGTTTTTATCAAAAATGACAAAAATATTTGCCAATAATAGAAGATATCATCACTAAATCTATAAATCTGACAGAGGTCCACCTGGCATTCCTACATACAGTATCAAAGCAATTCAGATGGTAGTTTTCAAGAAGAAGCCGAAAATGCAATTGTTGACAGATGATGATAGACAATGAACAGCTCTGCTTTGTCATCTAATATGACAGTGGAGCTAAAAAATACATAAATGTGAGCAAAATGTTCTCTTAACAATGATGCTCAAATAAATAGAACCTTATGTGTACAATGGTTAACGTGTACATTCTGCCCACTTGTTAGACTTGCGAAATTCATTTCGGGAGAATTGAGTCATTTTGATTAGGAACAGGTATTGTTCCTTATTGTCAGTGCATGTCAAAGATCCAGTTGTACAAAGAGTAGCATTTCCTGTAGAACAACTTAAGTATTCCTCTCAATACATGTTTATGCTGGAGTTGTTGTACCGCATTTCTATGTCTGTAAAGGCGAGGATCCCCTTGACAGGAAATGCTAGCCAATACCCTCAATCTGTAATGCCACAATATATAGTGCCAAGGTGTTAGCCACGCTAGCTAAGATAATCACACGTTAAGCTTAAAAACAATCAAGCATTGGCGCCGATAATCTTTTCCTGCCTTGGCATTGGCTTGAAATTGTCTATACCAATAAACAAGCTGGTTGCTATACAGCTGGTAGTGAGGGGAAAGATTACATTGCTTAGTCTGCCACTAAAGGTTATGTAACAAAAGATGACACATTTAAAACTGTATTAAACATAAATACATAACATAGTATGAGTGGGTAATAATAAATATGTATCTTCAATACGATAAATAAATAAATAATAATTACCTCAACATGTATACATCATCTACTGGTTCCCACGCCATATAACCTGGTGGTTTCCTGGCTTTAGCTAAGAAATCTTCTGCTGATTTGTCTGTATCTGAGTCGATATCCGAGTCACTACTTGACTCACTATCTGATGATGACGAACTTGAATCTGAACTTGATCTACTGCAAGAAATCAACAATTTAAAATAAGAATTGTGATGTGTTTAACAATTCGTAAACACAATGCTTTGTTAGTAAGTAATACCTTGAAAATACAACTACCGTAAAAACTCAATCGATTCGGCCATGTAAAAATAAATATTTTTGGGGGTGGGCCAATTGACTGAATAAATATAGAAATCAAAGAAAGCTTAGAAAGAACTCCCATGTGCTGAGAGTATTGGAGACACATTAAATATAATTTGAAATTACTTAGCTGAAAACTAATTATGCAAATCAGAAAATGAAAATGAACAGATTTGATTGTAAAACTAATGAGGTCTGCGCAATGTAACAAAAACTCTATGTACCAAGTTTAATTGAAATGTGATTAGAACCAAAAAATTATGAATTATTATGCTAATTAG